TAAGGAAACATTTTTCTACCATAGTTTATAAAGCAAACTAACATTAATTTTTCATGCAGATTCACACCCTCAAATATTTGCATATCAATAAGGAACACCTATACTAGAACCACCACGAAGGCGTAAGGCCTTAACACCCATGGGTACCGTGGGGCTATAGGAGAATTTACTTGTTTTAATCAAAAACTACATTACGTCCATATGTTATTTTTTTAAGACGGTTTCCTCAACTTCTACATATCCCACGATAGTCACAATACATTTCACTTATACCATCACAGCTAGCTATTGATACTATTGTTTTATATTTCATACTTATTTTTATCGTAATATATCTGGAAGCATGAGCCTTGCAAATCTGGATGATACTCAAAACAAACGCGATATTTCTACTAGATAATTCAAATAAAGATAGAGAATCCAGGCAATCATCACGTGAATCGATGCCTGTAATGCAGTTTTCTGGATTGTGCCTGGAGAGGAAAACCCTGGCGTTGCCACTTCGTCCATAAGACGTTCCACCCCCTGGGTCCGATGAAGAATCAGAGATGGCTGCGAAGTTCCTCCTGCTTCCTGTGCGAAGCCTTTGTTTGTGAATGCGCAATGGCTGAGACGAAATGTGACGCACACATTTTGAAAACAAAACCGAGATGTGAAAACGGAACAACTTCAAACATTCTTACGATATTGACGATTCACTCCATATTCTCATAGAGGCTTCACATTTTCAGAGATTTTTAGTGAAAGTGTAAAAACAATGTCGGTTCCCTAATGAGTACTGCACATTAGTTCACCATAGCAAGTGGCGTGTTCGTGCGACTTCCGATTGGAAAAGTAAATCACCAAAAGAACCTTCGACAAATTACTTCTAAAGGAAATTGAAAAAGTTTAACTGAACATCGTAGAATCAATTTTATAATCTCAATGCGTCGGTTGTGGGAGCAAGGTAGCTCCTGAGCGCAACCTACTGCGGGAGTTTACACAATTACGCTTTGAAGACCAGGGTCGAAAGAGGATTTAATATTGTTTATAAACACGCGATGCTGGCGTTATCGAAGGATGGGTTAACTTAGATATCATACCATGTGTTTTCTGGCAAAGAATGGATTGCAACTGTGGGATATTTTTTGGGGTGGGGCTGCTATTCAGGAAAAAAATGTTTGGTTATGTCAATGTCAATGAAGTAATGGTACCGTTCGTCGCGCCGGCCGTAGTCCTACTGTAGGGATCACTTTGAGCGCTTTTCAAAAGCGATCTAAGTGCTGAACAATATTTTGATACGCTCATCAGTTGTCAGCTTTCGGCAGGGATATTACGTGAAAACATATACTTTGAAGTTGAGTCATTAATTTTCAGATATTGATTGTAGAAGGAAGATAAACCAAAATATGTGTGTAAAAATAAAAAGAAAAAATAAAAAAAAATGTTACCTTGTTTTATAAAGTATCCTCCCGACAAGTATTTCAGTGCGGACCTGTATTTGATCGTGCGGTCTTGGAGCACCGGCATGCCCTCCCCTGTGAGGTCTTAAGACACCTGTTTCAAGAATCATGTCCACAAGGTCAGCATTTTCGTAAACATGTGCCATTTTTTATTTCGTTTGAGCCACGCAACAAACACCACTATTCACTCACGCGTTACCGACTGACACATTGACTGAATACAACTGAATAAAATTGTAGTAAAAATATCGTGATAAGCGTTTCAAATTCTTTCGCTTTTTTGTTTCCGATGCGATGAACCGATAAGGCGGATTATATCCGTTGTTGCCAAACACGAGCACATAATATTATTATTGAGACAGGGCTATACTAAAACTTCTAAAGGGCTATAACTTTGTTACTTTAATTTTACCAGAAAAATGTTAAAGGAAAAAACATTTCTTTTGATCAGATCTACTCACTCTTAGAATAAATGACTCAAATTCTAAGTCACCCTGTATACATAATGTCAAAAAAGGGACAAAATACCATCTTGCTGACGAGGTAGCTTCTAATGTGCAAACAGTTCATTCTGCTCTGTGAGCGTCACCTAAGGAGAAGCAACTCAACGACATTTTTAACGACCATGCGGAATCTCAGTTCGCTAGCATGCTTTGTTAGTTGCACAATGCCAATATACTCTGTAAAGTATACCTCTGAGAGGATGTGTTGGTTGAGTAGCAGAGTAGCATCTGGATTATACAGGGTGTAAACGTTATGATGGTCATTATTTGAATGGGTGATAGAGGGGGTTAAAAGAAGCAAAAAGTTTCATATAATATGGGGGTCAAAACGGCATTTTTTTTAGAGAAAGGCGACTTTAGAGTAAAATAAAATCTGACAACGCCGCAATGCCAGACGCAAGTTATTTTTGGCTTTTAGGTAAAAAACGGACTTACCACTAACTGTCTCAGCGCTTCACGTGGTGTGTGAAATTTTATTGCACGTATTAAAAAACCCACTTATAAATAGGGAACACAATAATTTTGATACATACATTGTTTTTCTTTTTAAAACCCACAGTACACTTTTTTGTATTAAAGAAGGTCGAAGTTGTCCATTTATTATTTCAGCCGCATTAAATTTATTTTTTCGCGAAGTTGTGCTTCAGTTGTTATTGGACCAGCCCCATAAACTATCCCTTCAAGTTCTCCCCAATACCAGAAATCCATCGGATGGAGGTCAGATGATCTTGCTGGCCATTTTCGAGGATCTGGAGCATTTCGACCGATCCAGCGATTTGTATAATGTTCATTCAAATGCTGAATGACGCCTCTAAAAATGTGTGGTGCTGCCCCGTCATGAAGAAACCACAAATTCTGTCTCCGTTGTAATGGCATGTTGTCTAAGGTCTGTTCCAAAAGTTCTGGTAGGTTATTGGCTAGAAAGCTAATATATCCTTCTCCTGACAACCTTGGGGGGTAACTCGAAAGGGCTAATTACCTGATCGTCAAGAATACCCGCCCAAATATTTATTTTAAAACGTTGGTGGAAATGACTTTCACGAATGGTATGAGGATTTTCTTGGGCCCACGTGTGAGTATTATGGAAATTTAATATCCCGTCTCGCGTAAAAGTACATTCGTCCGTCGCTAAAATGTTTTTAAAAAATCCGGATATTCAATGATTTTGTGCAAAAACCACTGACAGAATGTTAGTCTGCGGGGATAGTCTTCTGGTAACAAGGCCTGCACTTGTTGTAAATGGTAGGGATAAAGCAAATTTTCCCGTAGGATTCTATGAACTATGGTATACGATAGTCCTAAGCGGCGGTCTAATTCCCGAGTGCTGATATCTGCATTGATTTCCACGATATTTAAAATTTGTTCATCCTGCTCTACAGTCTTTCACGAGTGCGAATATTAGTGGGCTGAACACTTACAGTATCTCTAAGTCTTTGGTACACTTGCACAAATGTCCTTCTGTCTGGGTGTACCAGTTGGCGAAATCTGTCGTTGAGCTGCAAGATTTGAATTCTGACGAGCTTCACCGTAAACATTGTAAATAAACACGACGTACGTGAACAAAAACAAAACAACATACTAACCACTGTTACCGTGCGATCGATTGCCGGTTCGATAAGAGTGATGAAAGACCGATGCGCTGTTGTCATGTGTGTTTTAAATATTTAATTTAATGAAACTTTCTTACTTACTGACTACAAATTTAGGCTTAACTTAGAAAAACTTAATGCCATTTATTTGTTAATTACCCAATATAAAAACGTTTTAGATTAGATTATAAAAATTAGTAAGATTGTGGTCGATATAGAGCATTTAAAGTTGTAAACTATAAAGCCATTTAGACAAAAATCTATTGACTTTTGGACCATGGGTCATATGAACTTTTTGACTTGTTTTCACCCACCCCCCGATTACCCATTTCAATAATGACTACCATAACGTTTACACCCTGTATACCATTTTCTTGAAAAAATCACGGACTCTGGCGTCTAGGGTATGGTTGTGCTATTTCACGTGATTCACAAAAACCTTCAGACCGACGGGCAAATTAGGTCACATCTCTTAGTCAAGAATTAATGGATCAAAGTCAAAATAAACAAATTACTTCAAAAGATTTTATCGTATTTTTGACCTAACTCGACTGGACAAGAAATGACATAACCGTCAAATCATACCGCACATCTTCCTTTTCAGTGCTCTCGTGTAAAATCAATAAAACCGAGACAGCTACCAACATTTTTCTGACCTCACTACTACTAGATTGGACTCTTTACCTTCTAGAATTGGATTTTCTTTTAGTCAAATCTAGAAATACAACATGCCAAAGTCTACCATTACCAGCAAACGCATAACTCTGATCTTCCTTTACATACAAATGTTCGTATCCTTAAATAGGTTCCGGTAAACATCCCGATAGAAATGTGGCTCCGATTATTTACTGTATTCAATACTATCAGTATTTACCTTAGGTCCTGAATCTCGGGTGAATGAAAGGAAAAAGGTAATCCGTTTCCAATAGTCACCAGCCCATGAGGGCATTTTATCCTGATTTTACTTCCCATGCCTACTGGCGGGGAAGCGTTGTAAGCGTGAAAATTTTTGAAACTGAAATAGTATGTTTTTTGGATGTTACCTGACATGTACATAAGAAAAACCATGTCACTCATCCGTCGGTCTGTCCGCTAATCTTAGAACCGTCCTTAACTCGAGAAATACCGCTCAGATTTCGATAAAACTTTGCACTTTTTGAAAATCGGTCCAGTGGCGGCGAGGAAAAAGGCCAAAAACTAAAAAAAAATATAAATTGCACAACGTCGTTTTTTTGACGTTTCAGACGATCCTGATCATTTTCGAAAAATTGTTTGTGGTGCCTAAAAATTGGGGTTTAGGAGTTGCAGGTGGTGGGAGTAATTCGACGCACATATTAGGCATATTTCACTCATCATACATGTTCTCGTACATTTACCCTTAAACTTTTTTCTTAGAAGGTCTAACTTGTGCCAAACAAATTCAGGGTCAACGTACTTGACGACATGTTTTTTTTTTCTTGTTGCAGTCTCCTAAACCAGCCATCGGCCAGAAACCACAGATCTCCCCCAAGCCGTTCCAACGCTTGTCCCCCCAGATCGGTGCAGCAGGCGACACCGTGGAGATGACGCTGCCACCCGATTTGGCGCCCACAACGCCTACGTCGACGCCGGCATCTTCAGCTGGTCTCCAGACGTGGCCGCTCAAAAACAGAGTCATTTCCACGGATGCCGTCAAGAAGACGTCGCAAGATGCTCAGAAGAGGAATAGTTTGGTGATCATTGGGGGTGATGCGCACGGTCAGAAGGTAGGTTGAATGGAAACACGCAAAAGTTACAATGCGGGATCTCAAAAACTTGAGTAACATGAAATCGGTCCTATTTCACCAGCTGCTTTGAACCGCTGATTATATTCTGCCCAAATATTAGTCGACCACGTACCATGTATTCCGTCGCGCAAAAAGGATTCTGAAATATTCTAGCCCTATCTATGAGACAGTAACAGAATTCAAAAATGAATATAGAAATCTACTAAAAAGTAATGTGTTAGGTTCTGCTACATAGATGGCGCTAGGATCTTTAGTTCCTTGTTAGAGCCTCTCTAATTACTATTTTAATTGAATCGTCTAGGGCAAAAACCACTTTTATACCAACATGCTTTTTTAGAGAAAACGTTTCATAAAATAATATATGCGTATTCTGGGTATACATCTCTTAAGTCACTACATTCCTTCTCCTTCAAATAACATCACATATATATATATATATATATATATAAAGTAGGAAAATAATGGTCAAAATCCGCAAAAAGGAGGAAAGTGGATTCGAGCAGAAAATAGAATAGGTAACCCGAGCGATACGTAGTTCTGCTGGTTGGCTTCATCAGGCCCGAAATGAATGCACATGCACTACATGAAACTACAAAAGTAGATACAGATGCCCACACATCCGGATACGGGTGTAACCTGAGGAAACGAAGATGGGGAGGGAAAAAATGGCGGACTGAGGGGTTGCTAAAGTGGGGGGTTTTTCTAGACAAAACACCTTATATCTCAGTAGCTAATTACCAAAACCCCATAGTATGTTATATCAATTTCCTTCTTTTGAATTGGTTTATCCAAATATGGCATTCCATTTGAAAAATCACAACTTTGATATGTAGGTCGAAATTGGGACACCCTGTATAATGGCCAATATTTTAGAAATGTGCCCTCAAATGTCATGTATAACATCACATAAATAGATTTTCCCAAAATGTATCTGTTTATGAGGAATATTCCGTCCACACATGGATGGGCCACTCTGTATTATGTGGTTTGATTCTACCAGACTATGCGCTAATGCTAGATTATATATTTTGAATATCAGGAAGTGAAAAAATACGCTCAAATAGCTTTTTGATAGAAAAGGTAAAGTTTAAAATGATACGATGTGTTCATCCGAACTACCGATTATTGTGTGACGACCCCGGGATAGCGTATATCAGCAATTATTTATTGACTAATATTTTTGTTCCAGGTGATAGAATCACAAAAAGGTCTGAGTATAGATCACCAAGTGGCTTTGGAAGAGAAGAAGCTAATCAACGCTCTCAAAAATGGAGATATAGTGAATGAAGAAGCGCCCAAAACTTCTGGAAAAGTGACACATGTGATCACTGTCAACGGTAGAGATAGCAATAGAGAGGTCACGGTAAGATTTGTACTTGCAATTCATCATTTTTCGGATGTTAAATTAGAAAAATATAGGGAGCAAGGGATGTTTTTAGAGGAACTCTCCGTGGTCACGTGACATTTTCTCAAATGTGTGTTTGTCTGTAAAATTCGTCTTCGTAAAGATGGCTTTATAGTGCCGACATTGTAAACATATGGCTAAAATGTGTGATCTTTGGACTATCGTAGAAAAATTAGATTTTTGAAACTATGAATGTAGCTGTACTGAGAATATCACACTCTAGTGTCGTGTGAAATTGATTATATATATATATATAGAAAATTATCATGCGGAGAAAGGTGTATAACAGAAAATAGGAAAATAATGGGCAAAATCCCCAAAAAGAAGGCAAGTGGATACGAGCAGAAAATAGGATAGGTAAGCTGAGCGATACGTAATTCCGCTGGTTGGCTCCATCAGGCCCGAAATGAATGCACATATGCAACTACAAAAGTAGATACACATGCCCATGCATCCGGATACGCGTGTAACCTGAGTAAACGAAGATGGAGAGGGAAAAAATCACACACGAAGTCCACAACAAGAGCCAACCTACACATTGTAGTATAAAATGGCAGGAAGACCTCGAATTTTCAAGCCAACAACTAATCACAACCACGCGGCCGGTTATAGCCACTTGATGTGGTACTTCAAGCCCAAACGATCTACAAAGAGAAAATTATCATGCGGAGAAAGGTATATAACAAGAAATAGGAAAATAAAATGGGACTTCGTGTGTGATTTTTTTCCCTCTCTATCTTCGTTTCCTCAGGTTACACCCGTGGCATGCGAATCTACTTTTGTAGTTGCATATGTGCATTAATTTCGGGCCTGATGAAGCCAACCGGCAGAAATACGTATCGCTCGGGTTTCCTATCCTATTTTCTGCTCGTATCCACTTTCCTTCTTTTTGCGGATTTTGCCCATTATTTTCCTATTTTTTGTTATATATATATATATATATATATATATATATATATACAGGGTGACTTTGAAGTTGAGTCATTAATTTTCAGATAATGATTGTAGAAGGAAGATAAACCAAAATATGTGTGTAAAAATAAAAAAAAATTAAAAAAAAATTTTTACCTTGTTTTATAAAGTATCCTCCCGACAAGTATTTCAGTGCGGACCTGTATTTGATCGTGAGGTCCCCTGTGAGGTCTTAAGTCACCTGATTCACGAGCCCGTTGTACTACATTAACAAAGGCACGAGGGGTTGGTTGCACTCGATTGGGAAACCGATCCGCATAAACATGTGCCATTTTTTATTTCGTTTGAGCCACGCAACAGACACTATTCACACGCGACACTGACACTGACTGTATGTATAACTGAACTGGATAAAATAATAAACTGTACACAAACATCGTTCCAAATTCTTTCGCTTTTTTGTTTCCGATGCGATGAACCGGTAAGGCGGATTATATCCGTTGTTGCCAAACACGAGCACATGATATTGAGACAGGGCGGTACTCAAACTTCCAAAGGGCTATAACTTTGTTACTTTAATTTTACCAGAAAAAATGTATACAGGGTGACTTCGAAGTTGAGTCATTTATTTTAACAGTGAGTAGATCTGATCAAAAGAAATGTTTTTTCCTTTACCATTTTTCTGGTAAAATTAAAGTAACAAAGTTATAGCCCTTTGGAAGTTTGAGTACCGCCCTGTCTCAATAATAATATCATGTACTCGTGTTTGGCAACAACGGATATAATCCGCCTTACCGGTTCATCGCATCGGAAACAAAAAAGCGAAAGAATTTGGAACGACGTTTTTGCAATTAAGTGTTTTATTCAGTTCAGTTATACATACAGTCAGTATCTGTCGGTTAGCGTGTGAATAGTTTCTGTTGCGTGGCTCAAACGAAATAAAAAATGGCACATGTTTATGCGGATCGGTTTCCCAATCGAGTGCAACCAACCCCTCGTGCCTTTGTTAATGTAGTACAACGGGCTCGTGAATCAGGTGACTTAAGACCTCCCAGGGGACCTCACGATCAAATACAGGTCCGCACTGAAATACTTGTCGGGAGGATACTTTATAAAACAAGGTAAATTTTTTTTTTTATTTTTACACACATATTCTGGTTTATCTTCCTTCTACAATCATTATCTGAAAATTAATGACTCAACTTCAAAGTCACCCTGTATATATATATATATTGCTGTTAAGATGTGATTATCGAAACATAATTTTTTTGTTTTGTACCGTACGGCCAAAGCATCTTTTCAAAAATCGTCGGCAAACGAAATGCCATCGTAATTCAGGAAATAACTTGTTGATTTTTTGCCGTATGTCTAAGAATTACTATTATAAAGTTAACAAGCACAAAATCAGTACCAAAAACAGACAAGTCTGCATTTTACGTGCTGTGATTCACCTCTAATGAAAACAGAGAGGTGTTATAACTTCAAAGTGTCAAGGTATGTGTATAAGAAAATACATGCAGCCGTTTGAGGTGGACTGGAGGTTTTTAAATCTGTTATTTAATTGTGAAAAATATATTTGCTATTATTTCAGTCAGTGAAACCGTACCAACCGACTCCCGTAGTGCGACGTTTCGAACCCGTTACCAAATCCCCATCATCATGTACTACAACGACAAACATCACTACAACGATCACGGTCACTACTTCGGCCCCATCTACACCTTCTGTAATCACAACGCCTAGCAACGTCGCCTCAAAATGGGGATTGCGGAGTACGCCACGAAGACCTGAACAACAGGTAAAAATAACTAGGGTCCACAGTTGCCACGATTTAAATCAAATGATTTTTTCAATTTTAATAGTAATTTAAATCAAGTTATAAATTGCTGTAAAGACAAGTCACCGAAGCAAATAACTGAAATAACTCATCAGGGATTTTAAAAAAGGATTATAGTGTATTTGAAACTAAGAGTGTACATTGGTATTTCTCAACAAATTTGGAAATTTCATTTTGCATGTCTTAAAAAAAATAATAAATAAAGTTTTGCTTTAGTGAGGTTCATTGAAAATGAAGATCCTCCATATTTTTGTGTATAACATGTAGAAAAATTACTTTTAAAAAACTATGAAATGAAGGAATGACTGATAGGATGGGGAATGGTTTTTACAACAATTTGATGTTAAATTTCAATAGAAAACATAAGTTAATTTATTAATAGATGTATTGAGATGTGTTTTATACTTTGGAGAGCCTATATAGTCCTTCTTCGCTGGGCACATCCTCGTATTTTCGTACTTCTCTGAGAAATGAACCTTTCAGCATTTTGGAGCTAACTTTACGAGTATAGTTCTTTTTGTCGTATCGTTTTTGAAAAATGTTTCGATCTATATAGCAATTTGTATCTTTTGTACTAATTGCAGCTTCAAGGTTTTGTAATATTTTTTCTTTTCTCCATGTTTACTTCCAAGATCTTCATAGATATTCGTGAGGTCCGTTGACAGTGCTTCTCCGAAAATGAGTCTTTTTTTTTCAACGTCAGGAACTTGTGTATTCTTTAAAAGCGAAGACACTTTAGTTGCTGGAGAGTTTGGGTCAGTATTTTTAGTTTTCAGTCTCAAACACCTCTTCTTATAAATTTCGCTAAGCTTGACTGCATTCCTTACTTTATGTTCCAAACTTTCGCGTACATAATAGTTCGCCGCTTGCGCATTCTACGTCTATTGAGAGCAGACAAATTCTTTGCTCTATGCTGTAAAGATGGTGCAGGACGTGGTGGGGATGTTTCTTCAACTATTCTCTGTATTATTTATTATTCTTTTTCCATTGTTTTCTTTTTTGGCTAGTTTCTTTTGCACTCATAGAACTTATTGATTTAACTTGACTTCTTCTTTAAATACTACTAACCTTTCTTTTTCACGCAAAGCTTCTAAAGACTCATCTTTAATTTTCATTTGTTCTCGCCTCTTTCTGTCGTACTCCTTTTTTAATTTCTTTTCTTCTTCATTTAACTTCTTTGTTTTCCCCAGTCTTGATATACGGATATCTGTTAAAATTGAAAACATATGCTATACAACCTGGAGTTGAACAATAACGCCCAAACCACAATTTTATACATGCAAAAATCATTCCCTCGTATGATTTTCATTGCCTGACTTTCTAATCTAGTAAAGGAATGACGGATTTGCATAAAAGACACCGTAACCAACAGTACATCACCTCAAATTGATTTAGCATTTTTTTGAAAGCATTTTACTCCCCAAAACAAGAAAAAAATCATTAAAACATTCGAACAGTATAATGACTTACTTTTTAATATAGACAGCGAGGTAATGACACAGAGAAATGTAATGTTTTTTTTCTTTTTTTTTTGTTCTGTTATTGGAACTGGTCGAAGACCAACTGGCCAGATCCTTATGTTCAGTATAATGCTATGCTTTAATAGAAAATAGAACATCCATTACTTATTATTACCACTGTATTATTTCTATTATAGTTACATAGAGTATGTGAACACATATTGCTTTTTTAAGTTTATTTATTTTTTTGACCAATACTTTTTACTTATTTATCCTTTTTTCTACTTTGTTTCCAAGATTGTTTTTTTTTTTCTTTCCTTTTTTTAACTTGAGACGTGGTCATTGTCGTCTAGACCAGTTAGGTGAAAACTTAAAGCTTCCGCCTTTTGTTGGGTACTTCGACAAAATTTAAGCAAAGAGGACTTTATACTTTTTTAATCTCTCTAGCTTTCAATAGTATTTGCCATAATCATCAGGAGCTGCAATAACATTGAGAAAAATAGCAACAATTGTGCAAAATGAATTTAAATTGACTTACAGTAGTATGTGAGGATGTTGCTAAATGTTATTTACGTTTAGGATGAGGGAAACACCCAGTTACTGTAAGTTAATTTAAATTCATTTTGCACAAATGTTGCTATTTTTCTCAATGTTATTGCAGCTCTTGATGATGGCAAAGACCATTGAAAGCTAGAGAGATTAAAAAAGTATATAGAGTGCTCTTTGCTTAAATTTTGTCTAAGTACCAAACAAAATGCGGAAGCTTTAATTTTTCACATATATATATATACAATATATATATATATATATATATATATATATATATTACTTTATACTGATCTGCTTTTTTTTCAATACTTTTTTTTCTTCATTTTATAATGTTAGGCCTTCTTTCCGACAATGCTTGTATAAAAGTTCGTTAGAGCTTGTACATTCTAATATTAGGTGTTGCAAGGTTCCTATATTTCCACAACTGCAATGTGGATCATCCCGTATATATATATATATAACATCCGCATGATCTTTTTCTCATTATATATATATAAATATATATTCTAATTATTGAAATCCAATACTTTTTTGCAACAACTCTTTTCACTATTAAGAAATTTCGCCATGTTGACATTATTAGCAGTATTGCCAAGTAAGTATTAGTGTTGATACTTATTGATATAGTAAAAATGTTAAATTGACGATAAATCCATGCAACTTAGCATCAATGGCTCAGGACATGAATTTCGAAATTTGCTGAGAAATACCCATAAATATCTTAGAAAATATACAAAGAAAATTTCTTAAATATTGTACTTATAAAATTGATGGCGTATATCCAGAAAGGGGGGTCAGTCATTTCATTCTATAATTATGCAACAACTATAATTCCATATCAGACAGTTCTGATATTAATTTAGATTTTATCAGTAACGTTTTATCAAACTGTAGGGGCTATTACAATAGCTAGTCGTTTTAATGTTCGATTTATGTGGTTCTTGTACGTAAATAAATAAAGAACTATGATTTTTTTTGACAGGTACCTCATCCAGAATTGACAGCGAACCAAAGACAACACCTGCGCGCCAACGCGGGCGCGGCATTGACAGGTAGCGTGAACCCTGTCAGGCCGTTTCTGACCAGGGGTTCAGTGGCGGAACGGGTGTTGATATTTGAAAGGTGCCCTAGCGACCTATTACTGGACAAGAGGGTTAGAGCACCTGTGCAAAGTTACCAAGTTACTAAACCTCAGGTAAGTTGCATGAAAACGGACGTCAGCCAAGGGCGTATTCAGGAGGGGAAGGGTGGATCTTGAGTCCCCCCGAAGCCCACCGCCTAATACTTGTCACCTTATATAAATCAGACTGCTACAGCTATTTAGAAATATTTTGCGACATATATAACTGTTTTAGACTGGTTTAGAAATGATTCGTCTAAAAGGATGAAAGTTACAAAAGTTAATGACACTATTTAATAAAAAATTGAAAATACGTTGGGTGTTCCTCAGGACAGTATCCTGGGACCACTTCTTTTTATTTTATACATAAATGATTTACCTGCCATAGTAAAAAAATGCAAAATTCAGATTTTCGCCGATGACACTATGATTTGTATAAGTACTAAAAATATTCAGACTGGTATCTCTTATATAAATGAAGACTTGAAACTTGCCTCAAAATGGTTAGCATCTAACAGACTAAAATTAAATACTAAAACGAAAGCTATGTTAATCGGAAAAAACAATGTACAAATGTTCAACTGAATATTGATGGTGAAGATATTGAATTCGTAGAAAATTTTAAATACCTGGGGGCTTTTGTTATGAAAAAGTTATAAATAAGATTAGTAGTAAAGTGGGATATTTATCGAGAGTTTCTGGATGTCGTGAGTTCATATAGCAGACAAATTATCTATAATACATCATTCTTCCAAATTTCTTGTACTGATGGACTAATCTATATTTAGCAAATAATTCCATATTTGAAAGACTGCAAATTTTACAATGTAAAAAAATTTATCAAATATGTTGTAATGATGTTCATTTATAAAGTAAAAAATAATATATTTCCATCAAGTCTAACTAATTTAACATCACCAAATGTCGACCATCATTTACATAATACGAGAAATAAAGATGACTTCCATTTAATGACCAAACGCTACAAATCTGTATTCCATCAAAGGTTGATTGAATATAATAAATTATACACAGAGATAAAAGACCAGAAAGCTTTGACAAAATTTAAAGTAAAATTGAGAAATCACTGGACTAGTACTATGACTGATATGACCCTTTAAATCGTCAAAAAGCCTAAACCATAGCCAACCAATAATTATTTTTGTGACCTCTAAATAACATGGGGGTGGAGGCAACTAGACTATAAATTGTTCTCCCAGAAGGCCAGTAGCTGAATTTGATTTTCCTGTCTAGGTTCTGTAATACCCTTTATATTGATTTCAAAAATCCTCGCGAATACAATAAAATGCTCCTCGCATAATGTGTGTAAAGTGAATAATTTCAAAATTGCCAAAATATGATAAATATTGATAAGATTTTTATTTTGAACAACTACATAGGTACACGTAACCTTAAAAGTTTATTTGATTGTGAAATTTGGTATATGCATTGTTAGTGAATCATAGAGCTTCTCTTTATGAATGAGAGTATCACACTATTTATCCATAAATTGTCTCCATAGTCGCAAGCAGTCTCGGTATTCATATGTAAAATCATAAATAATTTATAAAGTAACCTTGTATTGTGCTAAGATGTTACGCAATTGTTGCGCATACTGTATACCTACCTATATTTGAATATTAAATTAGAGTTTCCTAAGTGGGATGTTAAGTATATATATTGAGATAAAATTAGTGAGGTCAGGATAAAACTGTATACGCGGATATGTACGGTATTTCGATAAAAAAAAATAGGTTAATTAGGTACCGTTCGATAACGTGGGTATCAGTGCCAAATAAATATTTTTAACTTGAGATTCCGCCTTTTGGCGACTAGTAACACTATTTTTTATCACTTGTCTTTTAGCTACTCTCGCTTGTTATACTGCACTCATTTAAAGCACAAATCGACGCCGTGTCTTTTGCATATGAAATTGCTATTCAGATGACAGCAACCAATTCGGTCAAACGTAGAATTCGTATCTACTAATGCATCTCGAATAGCAATGGCTTTGTGCTGTAATTTTGTACTGTAACACGGTTTTGCCGGAATCATAACTATGCAATGCAGTGTTTCTTCTCAGAATAGCATAAAACGTAGTTATACTTTTATGAACCATTAGAACTAGCGGTATGTGACTTTGATGGTATTCCGCTTTTACGAGACGCCACCAGCGCAATATCTGGTACAGTGTCGTATATTCTATCCGGCCGCCAAGCAAGAAATAATACTGAAGTCAAACATCCTAACAGCAACGTTTGCCACCATCGCCATCGTTTACGTAATAAGAGGTATAGTTGTAGTCACCGTTCTTGGCGGGTCAAAGTAAGACTACCAGTATCCCTTTATATATCTCCATCTCCCTCATACATACACAAGCAACCTGTTCCTGTGAGTGAACGTTTGTTCGGTAAGCTCAAAGTCATACGTTTTTTAGCTGTGTGTCTCCGTCTCGAAAACTTTGTCGTTACGTATGAGTTCCCTTCAATCAGATTTGTCAGGGTGACAACTTACTTGACATCGGCGTGCAGTTCGAGTTGTACTTTATCAATCTTCAATATAAAATTGTACAATGACCAGAAATACGATCAATGAAGAAGATCGACAGCTCGTGCTAAATTTATTAGAGAGTTTCCAGGAAGAGACTGAAAACAGCGGTCCCCTGTTACCCACTTCATGCGTACTGATGAGAGTAGCAGATGCGCTGAAGATTAGTCTGCGCAGTGTTCCGCCCATGGTACGGAGACTCGATATGTTTACGTATTCCATATGGATTTGATAACGTAACCGCCAAGGACGGTGACTACAACTATACAGCTTATCTACATTTAACCAAATCATATTTTTTTTAATATCACTATTCAGCAGTTCCAAAGCAGTGTCCAAATGTTTATGTGCTATATATACAGGGTGGCCCATCCATGTGTGGACGGAATATTACTCATAAACAAATACATTTTGTGAAAATATATTTACGGCATGACATTTGAGGGAACATTTCTAAAATATTGGCTATTATACAGGGTGTCCCAATTTCGACCTACATATCAAAGTTGTGATTTTTCAAATGGAATGCCTCAAATTTTATTGCATATTTGGATAAACCAACAGACGGAAAATGCTATAACATACTATGGGGTTTTGGTAATTAGCTACTGAGATATAAGGTGTTTTGTCTAGAAAAATCCCCCACTTCGGCAACCTCTCAGCCATTTTTAAATATGGAGTGCTGAATTTTGTATCAAAAAAAAACTTTCACACATCAGTTTTTATCTCATTTGTTACTTTTTCGAATTTTAATTTTTGCTTATACAGGGTGGTCAAAAATGCAAATTGTACTTTTTCTCAAAAAATTCAAATGCATCACCCTGTATATGTGTGCAAGTTTAGTTTCATTTTTTATAAGCTTTTTTGATACTTGCACTAGTATACAGGGTGATGCATTTGGAATTTTTGATTGATTGAATTCGCGTTTTTGACCACCCTGTATGAGCAATAATGAAAATTCGAAAAAGTAACAATTAATATAAAAGCTGAGGTGTGTAAGTTTTTTGATACATAATTCAGCACTCCAAATTTCAAAAACGCAGATTGAGGGGACGGTTTTTCTGAACAAAACACCTTATATCTCAGTAGCTAATTACCAAAAGCCCATGGTATGTTATATCAATCTTCTTCTTTTGAATTGGTTTATCCAAATATGCAATAAAATTTTAAGCATTCCATTTAAAAAATCACAACTTTGATATGTAGGTCAAATTTGGGACACCTTGTATAGTTGCCAATATTTTAAAAATGTGCCCCCAAATGTCATGTATAACATGCCGTAAATAGATTTTCCCAAAATTGATTTGCTCATGAGTAATATTCCGTCCACGCATGGATGGGCCACCCTGTATATTCGTCTTGTGTAAAGAACTGTTGGAACACCGTTCTGTGACGGCGTTGTGGTTAATTTAGCATCCTTCTTGAACTCCCAGTTGTATGTTTTTTCGCACCTAGGTCCTTAACCTGCTCAGGAAAACGGTTTTATTCGATTTTTTTGTGTGACGAATGTTAAGGCAGTCATACCACAACTGACTCTGTTAATCTTGACTCTGTTGGCATTTTTGACACCGAATTTTGATAAATCTGTAAATATTGATTGTGTAGTGGTGCCTGTAAAAGTAATGTAGTTGGTAGAAGAATCACCTTTCATTGTGGAAATATCCTTCCAGAGACGAAAAACCAACAACAAAAACAATTTTGAGGCACTACTATTTACACCAGGGATTTATAGTAACTATCACTTCAAACATACATCGAAATTACCTTCCCATCTTTGATTTTACCGTTTTTATGTAAAACATCGTTCGTTACCTGCAAGAATAAAAGAATTCGTCGCCACTTTCGAGAACCATGATCGGTAACATATTATACAGGGCGTTCCTTAATGATATGCAAATTTTTATATATAATTAAGGGTGTAAATCTACATGAAAAATTAATGTTAGTTTGCTTTATAAACCGTGCTCCAGAAATGTTTCGTTACAAAAACTTGAGGTAATTAATATTTTCAGAACCGCTTCAGATATTTCACTGATATTTAGTACGTAGTGAAAGTTAATAAAGTTGCATATTTTTGCAAGCAAACTAACATTAATTTCACACCCTTAAATATTCCCATATCATTAAGGAACACCCTGTATAATAGATACTATGATATATCAGGCTAGGATCATCAATCAAAACAGTTGCGGAATTCTTCTAGTGCAGTTGTACTTTTATAACCGTTATGGGATTACAGAACCAAAAAAAATGTAACGATTCATGAACATTTTTTGGAATTATTGAAAATTGGCATCTTTAAAATAGTGATGTGCTTTTTTCGAAAATTCACGTTGTTACCTAATATGTTTGCAAGAAGCTCCGCTCCGCGTTATTGAAAAAAGTACTTAAAACTACATTTTCAGTAATATTGCCTGCCAGTCTCAGCTTTCCATGAAAACAGCTTTTTTATAAATCAAACTAGAGAAAATTGCCCATAATTCATCTAATAACCTATTATTATCTTGTTAAATGAACACTGCAAAACT